ACGACGACAACAACACCAGCAGCAGCAGCAGCACCAGTAGCAGCAGCACCACCACCAAGAAGAAGAAGAAGCAGAAGAAGAACGCAAAGCACGACAGAACTTGCCGTGGTAGGGCATCAAAGGATGTACTCGTGACTTTTGTGCGCTGTTAGCGCCCCGACAAACAATCTCCGAAAGCATGATGGGGATCATGCAACTGAAGCCGCATGCTCGTCATCCAGCCGAAGGCCACAATTAAAGGCGCCTGGGGAAGAGGGTGGGGAAGATGAGTCGTATTCTGTGGTCACTGGGCTCAGCTGGCCAGGGTCTTCCTGCATAGCCACGTAGATATCCTCGGTGTTGAAGTTCGCTGTTTCTTTGGAGAAAATCGGTTCAGGGTTTAGGGATCCTGTTCACTGCCCCGGACGTCGGCTCGTCTTATTTAGGGCTGTGGGGCACAGGTTTCACAGCTCTACCAGCCAAGTTGCCCACGGGCCTCCGAACATGCCAATCTGAAAGAGGTCCTGCTTCAACTTGCAGCTGGGAACTTAAGGCTGCGTCGAGGGAAAAAAGAAACAATCCTCCGTCCCTCATCAGTATCAAAAACTGCCCTATCACAAACGAAAATGAAAGCTTGTTCAGTTTCAACACGCACAGCCACCTTTGATGGTGTGTCGTTTTGGCAGCTTTTGGGAGACAGGAGATGGGCGCTGCCGCTGAGATGGCAAAGCTGAGTCCGCCTTTTGGTGGATCTGGCACACTGCTTGTGTCACGGCTTTGCCTGACATATCCTAGGTCGTAGGTCCTACTTGGAGGTTCATGGGTAGTTATAAGTAGGGTTATAAGTATGGTAACTATAATTATAACCCCTTTTAGGGGACTTGTAACCCCACTTATAACTACCCATGAGCCTCCAAGTAGTTCTTTGCACGACCATGCCGCGGGTCTGGAATATTCTTTGTTCCAGGCCTTGCTACTCTGCACGGCTTAGACCAAGAGGTTCAGCTTAGTGTTTGGCATCAAGAGTGCTGGCTGTCGGGTTGTTCACACTTGCATGGCAAGGCGCACAAGCTACCAGCGGCTTCGGAACAAGGACTTAGGTTCAGTGATTCAAGGTTCACCAAGGATCTTGCCTAATGTAGGGGCCCTACACTTAACAAATTAGAATAAGGTTTTGGGGGCCCCTTATTATACTTATGGGATAACAGACCCCAAACCAAACTTTAATTGTTTAGGCCCCTATACCCTGTACCCCTAAAGCAGCCGTTATAGAACCCTTTGGGGAACCTTTTGAAGGAACCCCCAAAATGTCGGTTTTTCTCAGGCCCCTATATATAACAAGGAACCCCCAAAATAGTATAGGTGATTATTTAGGCGTCTATGTTAAACCTCTAAAGCTGTATCCTTTTTTGCACTCCCTGGAGCTCAGGCATTCCTATTTTTAGCGTTGTTATTGCTATTCTTACTGTTACTCTTACGATTATTGTTGTTATTATCATTACTATTATGGATTCTATTTTTATCATTAATATTATTATTATCAATATTACTATTATTCTTATTGCTATTATTATCATTACTGTTATTTTATTTTTATTTCTATTATTCTATTACTAATATTACTACTATTATTAATTCCTACTATTGTTATTATTAGTAGTATTATTGTATTAGTATTACTATTGTTGGTACTACTA